AACAAAATAGAGATGAGCACTGACCATATGGACGCTGCAATGCTGTATAGACATCTTTCGCCACTGATGATGCACCAGTCGATGAGTTATTCGAGTTATTCGACGTTGACGAATACAGATTATTATTAATAATATTATTAGTAATATTTGGTTGCGTCGTTGTTGCAGAGAGTGATGTTGTTATGCTGTTACTAGTGCCACTGTTCGACGTTAAGCCGTTTATGTTATTCAATATGTTGTTCGCTCCAACCCCGAGACCGATGCTCGTGTGCTGACCGCCACCGTTGCCACCACCGGCACCACTTCCACTGCTGTTACTCGAGGAAATCGGTGACTGTGACGAGTAGGAGGTCGTTGGGATGGATGTGAACGCACTCGTCGATGACGGTGACGAGCGGACGCCCAACGATGGGAATTCTGAATCGTTTAGAATTGTGCTTGCGGTCGTGATGCTGCTGTTGCTGTCTGCTGACGATAGAAACGATGCGGCGCCTGCTGTATGAGAATTGAGCAGTGAACTTCGACAGGTCACGTTCACGGATGGTACTAGAGAGCTGATGATGTTGTGGTTGGAAGTATTATTGCTGGAATTATTGCTCAGAAATGACGATGACGACTGCGTATGGGCCAACGAGCCTGCGGAAGCGGGATTCGAAGCGAGCAAGAGACGATGATGGTGATTGCTGGATGAACGATGATCTGTGGGTGTGCTGGAGGATGATGCAAGGATCGTCGTTAGGCCACTACTACTCATCGGGACGACTACCTCTCGCATAACAACATTTTCTTGTGCGCTGATCAATTTCTTGAANTCCCCATACAAATCCACTACTTGTAAATCAAGGAGTAGATCTCTATCGGGTCAACGCGTAGTAAAAAAACCAACACGACCACTTAAACGACTTAACCAAAATCGATGGACACATTGGACAACACATGCAAAAATCTCTTCTTCTACAAACAAATGAGACCAAAGTTCCTGAATAAACTCCACAATATTTCCATATCCCAATTCTATATTTCCTTTTCCACAAAATACGACGAATTCATAACGCTCCGTAATGTAACAACGTCACAACGCGTAAACTTTCAATCACTTCATGTAAAACAACTCTCGTTCATAAAAAATCACCGTAGAAAATCAACAAAAACGTCATCTTCGACGATATTATAAAACCAACAATCGAAAACATCAACACATGCGGCCATAATGTACCTAGACATAACAAAGAACTGAACTGATAGGATGGATAAATAACCAAAATGAACTACACAACAACATTTTACGCCACCAACAATAATAAACCATCCATACACCCATCAAACTTTATGTACTAACAATAAATTAGAGGTATGCAACCA